CTAAATATTTGTTTGCAGTCCCCGTCAATCCCCATGTCCCCCGACGTCACGTGTTTCATAACTTTCGGATACCAGGGTATTAGAGGTCACCAAGAGATCAGCAAATATGGTCCCTATTGTGCAGTTAGCCGATATTCAAGGTTGTTGTAGATGGGCTCCCTGTGTAAAAGTTACTAGGCACAAAATCTATATTCAAAGAAACGCCAGAAATGTACCTGTTACAGTAATAAATCTTTTAGCAGGTAGTCCAGTCATTTAGACATTTTAAACACCACGCTATTGAAAAAATCCTACAGCTCAAAATTTTTGTATACATTTTTATTATTGCGTTGTAAGATTTGAAAAATCGATCTTGATATCCATAAAATACTGAGTAGACCATATAAACTTTTCTTAATCAAATAAATAATATTTCCAACCTACGTATTTGTTATAACTTGATTATTGAACTTACATTTTAATTATTATAAAAAAACACCTAAAAGAAATCAATTCGATAGATATTATCCTTCCATCGAAACCAGACGAACTGAGGCCACAAGTTTACCAATACCGAGTACCAGGGGTCCACATGCACGAAGAGCTACTTCGAATGGCGTCGTATCGATTTACAAGGGGTGAACTGCATACGTCACTCGATGCGGCGACCTTGATTTTTTTTGAGCCAGTACAGACAAGCTATTACGTCATCGGTCGAGCTCGTGCCACGTGGTTTTCTAGCGCTGTGTACTAGGATATCAAAGTTACTGTACAGTGAACGTACCTGTACACTTGTAAGTTGATGAATAAAGTGTATTAGTACACCGATCAAGTTTTCTAGTGTCCTAGTGTTCAGACGCTAAAAGCACGCTGCTTCGCCGCATGACCGCATGGCAAACGTTTTCTTTCATTTTCTTCGCAACAAAGGCGCAGTGTGAAAAATGTATTCATTTTAAGTATTATAAGGTTTTCTTTGTTTGTTTGTCGCAGATGGTGAGCCGTTGCACCAGACACATTTCCAGATTTTCAAAAAACCTAAAAAAGTCCAATATAATTTATTTCAACGCGAAATCATTTGTCAAACCTGTTGGTCGGTAATGATGGCGAAGGAAGGCGATAATATTTTAATTTTATCAACAGAAAGTCATAATTCATAAACAAAAGTTAATTGTTGATGCAACTTTCAACGGTTAAAAGCTTTCGGACTATATTTTATATACGGACTGAAATCTATGAATCTCTCTGTCCCTAATACAGCATGCTCTTGGTAACTCCTAATGCCCTGGTATAGTGGCCTTTTAAAAAACGTGACGTTACCATAGATTTCCCACGATCGGTTGTCTTGTCGGCTTTGTTTGAGATTTAGAATAGATTTTTTTTTACATCCCTTATTAGGGTTCCGTACCGGGCAAAAGCCGGTAGCCCTTCAATAAACGAGAATGATACATCAATGGTCCCCAGCATGGGAATGTCGTGAAGTAGCAACGACGTGTTCTGCAGCGCAATGATATCTGTGTGTTTACAAAACCGTCCCATACGTTCTATTGACCACGTGATATTTTTAAAATGTAAACGATAATTAACTCGTCGAGTACCGGTTTTGTAGACACAATTATAGAGGTAGAACAATAGGTTGCGGTCACCGGTGACCGCTTGGTGTTTGACAGTTTAAGTTGTTATTTATAAGAATTCTGATTATTTTTGTTTTAAGTCAACTACTGCATTGCTTCCAAAATCATCATAGTGTGTTATTTCCTTCTTACATTCGGTAACAAAAATACTTAATAAAGGCTATTATAGCTACTCCAGCGCGATTTTACCCACTCGGCTCCTGTTCGTCGACAAATGAACTATCCTTCACAAAAATAATTATCAAATTAGGACCAGTACTTTCGGATTAGATTAAAAAATTATCGATCAAACAAACTGTTCAGTTTTATACATAACTAGCTGTTGCCCGCGACTTCGTCCGCGTAGAATAATGACTTCTGGCAGAATTTAGGCTTTTGAATTAGTTTTTATCAAGGGATATTCTACGGTAATGGATGTCGTCAGAATTGATTCAGTCCCGTAGATGATAGCGTGATAATATGTAGCCTATATGTTTACCAGACTTGTTAGTAATATTCATGCAAAATTTGAAATAGTAGTGCAGTACTTTTTGAGATCATCACGGCCATACATACAGACAAACAGACAAAAATTCTAAAAACCACATTATTGGCTTCGGTATCGATTAGAGATCACGCTTCAAATATTCTTTTAAAAAATATTCAATGTACAGTTTTGACTTTTCTACGATTTATTATATGTGTAGATAGCTGTTGCCCGCGACTTCGTCCGCGTAGATTAATGACTTCTGACAGAATTAACCAGAATCAATTCAGTGCCCAAGTAAGATTTACCTATTTTGAAATGATTTATCGTACCGCAGGGATCTTACCAGTACAGTGCCCGATCACGTAAGGTTTGAGTAATAAAAACTATTCTATCGACTATTGTTGTACCGAATCTCTCTAGAATAAGTTCAGTGGTTAAGAGTTAGAGAGTCCTGGGGCATTGACGCATAGTTCCCGTTCTCGTGAGACATCTGTGAAAAAACTATCATACGTTACCCAGGTCCCAAATCATCGTTTTACCGAATGTAATTCAAAAAGATTCAATGATTCTAAATTCAACGGCTAAGAAGATTTATACAAACTCTCATTCCCTATTTTATCCCCTTAGGGGTGGAATTTATCAAAATCCTTTCTAAAGAGATACCTATGTCATAGTAACTTTATGCATGCAAAGTCTCAGCCCGATCAATTTAAAACTGGCAAAGTATCATACTTTGGGGTGAGAATGTTCAAAAACCTTTCTAAAGGGACGTTTACGTCATAATATCCATCTGCACGCCGAATTTCAACCCGATCGGTGTAAAACTGACAAAGCCTCACACAAACGTTCATCCCCTATTTTACCCCCTTGGTGGAAATTATCAAAATCCTTTCAAAGCGGATGCTTACGTCATAACATCTATCTGCATGCCAAATTTCAACCTGATCGGTTTAAAACTGACAAAGGCTCATATAAACTTTCATCCCCTATTTTACCCACTTGGGGGTGGAAATTATCAAAATCCTTTCACAGCGGATGCTTACGTCATAACATCTATCTGCATGCCAAATTTCAACCCGATCAGTTAAAAACTGACAAAGTTTCATACAAACTTTCATCCCCTTTTTTACCCCCTTGGGGGTGGAAATTATCAAAATCCTTTCTTAGCGAATGCCTACGTCATAACATCTATCTGTATGCCAAATTTTAGCCCAATCTGTCCAGCGGTTTGGGCTGTGCGTTTATAGATTTCTATGTCAGTCAGTCAATCAGTCAGTCAGTCAATCACCTTTGAATTTTATATATATAGATATTACTATAGATTAGTTCGGTATATTCCTTATCAGTGTCATATTCATTTTGTCAAGGTCAATGTCCATGCTTATTACTAACGTATTTTTAATGTTACACACGGTCGCCCCCTCGACCCAATTGTAGATAAATATTGGGACTTTGATATTAGTGGTTTTAAGTTTTAGAATTTGTATGTCCACACGGCCATACATAATCTATACAAAACCAGTTTATCCTGGTGTCGCGTCGCACCATCTTTCCACACATTTAACGATCAGTTTATACTGGTCATGTAAAGCTCGATGTGTAGCCGTGTGTACAATATCTGTCTCAGTTTTTTCCACAAAACGACTTCTCAATCATCTTTCCTGCCCAAATATAAATCTATCATTCAAGGAGTATCCAGGGAGTATTCGCCCTTTCAAAAATAATCACCCAGGGAGTCACATTTTAATTTGCCTTCATTCTGACCCACAGTTTCTGAGAAGCGTAATGACATTAACGTATTCTATTTATTTAAATATTGAAAGATGATTGAAAGTAACTAATATGTGGATAACGTAGTGGGTAACTAGTATGTACTAGAATGCCTAATTGTGTGTATTCTTAAATTAAATATTATTATATGATTGCATGTAACTAAATATTGTGTATTATTGTAATATGTTATTGTTTATTAAACTGTCAAACACCAAGCGGTCACCGGTGACCACAACCTATTGTTCTATAATTGTGTCTACAGAACCGGTACTCGACGAGTTAATCCTTAACGAGTAAATAAATAAATAAAAAGCTTTTCTTTAATATAATGTACATACGCTCGTACACCATCGTTCGGCGCAGTGTGTATCGGGACGACAAATACTTGTCCTGCGAGTCCCGTTAGTCGTCGCGTCGACATACTGATGACGTAGTAGTGGGGTCCGTTGTATTATATCTTGGAATATAAAACTACATGTTTTTGCGTTCAAAATATACTATCTTACTCTCAGAGAATTTACTAACACATATCTGGCTAGTACTTTGTTGATTCATAATGGATCTTGTTCAGATAAATGCAAGGATTTATTTACTATTTCCGCGGATATTGTTGTACTTGATTGCCTCTTCATCGCGACAATGCGTCAATATGCGGACTTAATCACATGAAAACTGTATCAAATTGACATTTATATCACATATCTTACATATAGATCTTCTTCTCTCACAGATATTAGAGCTGTCACAAAATCAAACTTTTAAGTCAAAAGAAACAACAATTTGCGACATATTTTAAGTATCTATTATTTAAGTAATATTTTATAGCACATATAAAGAAGAAATTCCGAAAACCTTAATTTTTTTCACCTACAGATTTGTACGGAACCCACAATGCGCAAGTCCGACTCGCGCACCAAGGCCGGTATTTTTTTACTGCTTCGTTCTCTGAATAGGTATAACCGCCAAACAAAAGAATCGCAAAATCGCAACTCGATCCATGGGACAGGTAAACGTCTGTTGTGGGTTCTGGGTCCTGGGTTTAGTAGTTTAGCGCGCTGCACGAGCGAGTACGGACGTGCGTACGCTGCTTGTAACGATTTGTTTATTCGCGACTTGCGCGGCTGTAGCCGCTGCCCGTGTTGATAATTATGAGTACTCAAACACCCATAATTAACGACGTGCTAGCATTGTTGCAGAATGTCTATGATTTTTTGGACGAGGGCCACCTCTTGGACCTCTGCAAGTCTGCCTTCAAGAAACCCGAGATAAACCGGGCAAGATGGCTACTGTTCGAGACGCTCGACAAAGTTGACCAGATCCCGTCTCGCCAGAGAGATAGCACCGACAATATTATCCAGGATATTGTTACTGTGTTCAAGGAGACTGACCCGGATGAAGTGCCTAATTTCGTGGTGAAAAATATTTTTAAAGTATTGTGCTTTGAGTTTAACCACTTCGACGTCACTAAGATTCTTAACGATATCAAAACCATGAAAACCAGTCTGGCCGAATTGCAGTCAAAGTTGGTGGAGTCAAATAATACTGTATGTGACTTGCGTGCCGAGGTAGTTCAGTTGCGCAGTGCTGCTTCAGCAAGTAAGTTACCTGATACTTCCAATGTGAACGCAGGATGTAAAGTACCGCCCGCTGCAACCGGCAGTGAATCGGTGGTGGCAACTGTGTCACCAGTTGAACCTGTAAGCGTAGCCTCACACGCCGCCGCCAACAGTACTTCCGCATTAGTGCAAGAACCGGCAAGTGTCGGTGCGTTAACTGCTAATCGTGTCTATGCAGATGTCGCCACCACTAGCCAGTCGGTACCACCACAGAAAAAGAAAGTGGTTCAAACAAAACTGGACCAAACAAACCAGATGAGTTTGAAAAAGGACACATGTGACGATGATGGCTTCATCAAGGTGGAAAAGAAAAATAAGAAGAAGAAGCCTCACTGCCGGAACCAGCGTGGTACCGCGCCGAAAGAACCCGATATGGTGCTACGTCCAGCAACACCCACGACGCAGCTGTACTTGTCCCGACTGCATCATTCCATGACGGTAGAGGACGTGGTCAAATATATACGAGAGCTGACAGGCTGGACATTAAGAGTGGAGAGGTTGGAGTCGCGCTACAAGATGAATTATAAGTCATTCGTAGTGCGTGTTCCATCAGATCATCTGGACACCTTCCTCAAGGAAGAGTTCTGGCCGACAGGTGTTGTGTATCGCCGTTTCCGTGGCCGGCTACGGAACACCAGTCAGCGGGACACGACGCCGGTTCTTCGTGTACATTAATTTCAAGTTAAAATAATTTGATATCGTATCTATTCATTTATTGTATTATATAATTACTATTACTATTTTTTGTATTTGTGTATTATACTTTATATGAGGAATGAATAAAAAAAATAATAATTATAAATATAACCTACTTTTTCTTTACAATATTCCTAATAATAAATAGGCATGCGTATTTTATATTTATTATTCGTCAGTGAGGTTCAAATCTCACTGGCGACACTTGCCTTTCTTCATTCGGAGAATTAAAAACATGAAATTATGTTACGGTTTTCTTTAACACGACAGTTAATCCAATCCAGTACCAAATGACAATCAATAGTAATCATAATATGATTATATATAGAGGTATTATATAGCTTCCGATGCTACGGTATCGCAATGATTGCAATATATTCATAAAATCAGTACTCCAAGTAGCTCCTGATGTCCTGGTACCGCTACAGTTGTTGCAACGTGACGCCGCACCTACCCTCGCTTACCCCGATCGACTGCGGGCCATAGTCAGCTTGTCGTTTTGTACTCTATGGTTTTTATACAAAATTATGTAAAATATTATAGGAAAATATATAGTCAAATAGTTAGGAACGAAGGTAATGCACTGGTAATTTATGATGTAACATAACATAATATCACACCTTTTATCCCCGAAGGGGTTGGGCAGAGGTGTACATTATGCCACTGTACAATGAACACCCACTTTTCACAATTTTTGTTATGAGTCCCATGTAGTAAGGGGTGAGCCTATTGCCATATACCAGACACAATTACAGATCCAGTGCACTACTGAGAATTTTTAAAAAACCCTGTAATACTTTGCCCAAACCAGGAATTGACCCCGAGACATCTTGCCCGGCAGTCGCACTGGCGACCACTCACATTTTATGTTGTATTATTTAATAATATTTTACCTTTATTGTACACAAAAATACAACATGTATTGTACCTCAGACACACGTGTATTGTAAACAAAGGCCTTATCGCTGAAGCGATATCTTCCGGGCAACCTTTCGGTGAATGGAGCACTGTTGTAACTTGTTGATGACAGTGGAAGTCTTTCCAAGTGTACTCAGGTGTACAAATACATAACATAACATCACGCCTTTTATCCCCGAAGGGATAGGCAGAGGTGCCCATTATGCCACTGTACAATATAACACCCACTTTTCACAATTTATGTTATGAGTCCCATGTAATAGGGGGTGAGCCTATTGCCATATACCGGGCTATTAAATAACCCGATATATTTATTATTATATAATTTTTACACCACAGAAATATATAATAACAAACAAAAAATAATAAATAGTTCACAATAGGCAGTCTTATCTGACTTCTTACTGACAACCTTTCGATTGAGCTGTATATAGTAACTAAGGAATCTAATGTAGGTCGTCAAATGTACAATGTACCTAAAAGATATAATAATATAAAAGATGGTATATTACTTAAGAACAAAGTACCTCGTTATTGGTTTCAATACTGGGTAGAATGTATACGGAATGCTCGCGAAAAAAGACTCAGAAAAAAAAAGTATTCATATTTTTAATCAGTTTTTTTTTCATGAATTATTCATGCAACATCAGCCTTGAGCGATTCATTACAACTACTATTTCATAAAAAAACATTAAATTCCTTATTTTTAAGATAATAAAACTTGTTTTTAAACAGAACGGTGAGCATAAAAACTTCAAATGATTACGTTTCGATAACATGGTCATTCAATGAGGTTCGTAAATATATTTCTTTTTTAGCAATTTTGATACTGGTTCTGCACATCCTAAGCTTGTATCGCCGCGCAAAATCTTTAGGGGTTTCTATCTTGAAATAATTCATTACATTACTAAATAATTTTAGTTTATATAACATTACTAAAACTATGGAAAAAGAAGTCTGGAGTTCGAAGGTATTAAATTACACAATAGACTACCATCAATAATAAGGCAAGAAAAAAATTATGCGCCGTTCAAAAAATTACTTAAAATTACCACAATTAATAACTACAAACGATGAATACTTGTAAATATATTTAAAATATCGACTAGTGTTTACTCCCAATAACGTAAAAGGCAAATTCTAAATAGTTTAAATTGAATACCGTGTACAATTTTACATCTACAATAATAAAATGAAACAATTACATTAAGGATAAACTATGCCATCAATGCCACATCTAATAAAAGTTCATTTATCAGGTGATTGATTAATTTATTGGTTTACCCACATTTACTTCATATTTTTGTTATACTTTACTGGTCTGCCCGTGTTACTTGATTCTGTGTTCATTTTTAAATAGTGAAAATTTATAAATGTTCTTTTATATTATTTTGTATTGTTTTTGTTTTTATGTAAGTAAATATTATTTCTCAGTAAGCGAATTATGTATGTGATTCTTTATGAGAATAAAGAAATTCTAAACCTAAACCCACTAGAACTATAAAATAATTTAAAAAACATAAAGATTCACGAAATTAATTAGAGATAAGCTGGCTAGCCATAAACTCGTTGGACTAGGACATGGTCGGGGTAAGCGAGGGTAGGTGCGGCGTCACGTTGCAACAACTGTAGCGGTACCAGGACATCAGGAGTTACCTGGAGCACTGATTCCATCAACATATTGCAACCACTACCATCGGCAGCTTTACGAGATTACTACTGTCATTACTTTACACTTAGTGTGACATTTGATACCGCACGATCTCCGGGGAGTCGGCGAACCTCCTTGCCGGATTACCGCCGTGGGATCTGGAGGCGAAGGTGCTCGCGCGCGTGCACAGCATGCGCGCGGAGGCACGTCGCCGGGGCGAAACTCCGCTGCCGCGCCAGATAAGTGCGTGGCGGGATGAGCTCCGGCGCGATCTCATGGCGGAATGGCAGCAACGACTGTCGCAACCGAGGGCTGGGCTCGCTGCCATCGCAGCGGTAAGTCCCCTCTTTGAGGAGTGGCTTGAGAGACGCTACGGCGTCCTCACCTACCGCCTGACGCAGGTCCTCACCGGACATGGAAGTTTCGGGAGGTACCTGTGTCTGATGGGGCGGGAGGAAACGCCCGGGTGTCATCACTGCGAGGACCGCCCTGAGGACACGGTGGAACACACGGTGGGAGAATGCCCTTCGTGGGCTGAGCACCGCCGTGTCCTCAGGGAAGTGATCGGCGATGGCGACCTCTCGCGTCCGGGCCTAGTGCAGGCCATGATGCGGAGCGAGGGGGATTGGGATGCCGTCTCCTCCTTTTGCGAAGCAGTCATGCTAGCTAAGGAGGAGGCGGGACGCGTGAGGCAGCGAAGCGCTGCCTCCTCGCAACCCAGCCATCGCGAAGGACACACCGGGCGTCGGGGATCGCGGGACGATCTCCGGCCACCGTAAGCGCGGGCCTGCGGACGGCGAGCATGGGTGGCTCCCCGTCCGACCAGAAACAGACCCGAGCGTACGGCGCGTCGCGTTCCGCGCGCGCCTCAAAGAGCCATCAGACCACCACAGATGGGGCCCAATAGGGCCGATGCCGATTCGGAGTCGCGGAGAACCTAACGGGTAACCGGGGCTCCGGCTCGACGTGCAGGAGAAGGAACGGGGTGGTTTTTAGTCAGTAAGAGTCTGACACTCCCTCCCGCCTCACCCAGGCTGGAGCAGTCATTCGATGATTTTCCCCCCTTAAAAAAAAAAAAAAAAAAAAAAAAGTGTGACATTTGATATATTTATTATTCGTCATTATGATTAACTGTGTTACGTTCAAAAAAGTGTCACTTTAATTTCTTCGTGTATTTTGTTCACTGAATGTAGGTAGGAAGTACTCGTACACTTTTGGTGTAATGACTATTATAAGACAATAAACTAGTTGAAACAAATACTCATCATGTCGTGTCGAATGTCGTGGTGGCCCGGAGGTTAAAGATATCCGCTTCTCATGCATGAGAGTGTGGGTTCGAAACCTACCAACGACAAGTCCATTGTGACTTTTTCGAAGTTATATAATATGTACTTTCTAAGATTATCTAGACACCACTGATAAACGGTAAAGGAAAACATCGTGAGGAAACCTGGCCTTATCATTTCTAATTATAAGTTTGAAATCGCCAACCCGCATTGAGCAAGCGTGGTGTTTAATGCTCAAACCTTCTCCGTGCAAGAAGAGGCCTTAGGTCATCAATGGGCACTATAGACTGTTGATGATGATGAATGAGTAGTCAGTTGTTTCACACTAATTGGTGGAAAATGCCTTAAATATGAACATTATAATATGTATAAGAAATGTAAAACACACAAATTATTATTATATCTTTTTATTGGTAATATTGGATATTGAAAATGTATTTGTATTTATTTATATGTTATATAAAACAAAAAGGTATAACTATACAAAAATCCGAAATAATAGATGATCCAAGAACTAAACTAGATAATAAATATGAGTACATTATTAAAATTTAAACTTAGAACTAGTGAGTACACGAAGTACCGGCATCGTATCCTGCTGACAGGTGTTGTGTAGCCGACCACGGAAACGGCGATACACAACACCCGTCGGCCAGAATTCTTCATCGAGGAAAATGTGCAGATAATCTGATGGAACCCGCACCACGAACGACTCGTAGTTCATTTTGTAGCGCGGCTCCAACCTCTCGACTCTCAATGTCAAGCCTGTCAGCTCTCGTATATATTCGACAACGTTCTCTACCGTCATGGAATGATGCAGTCGGGACAAGTACAGCTGCGTCGTGGGCTTTGCTGAACGTAGCACCATATCGGGTTCTTTCGGCGCGGTACCACGCTGGTTCCGGCAAAAAGGCTTCTTCTTCTTATTTTTCTTTTCCACCTTTATAGAGCCGCCATGGTCACATGTGTCCTTTTTCGAACTGGTCTGGTTTGCTTGGTCCTGTTTTGTTTGGGCCACTTCCTTTTTCTGTGATGTTATCGACTGGCTAGCGCTGGCGACATTTGCATAGACACAATTTGTAGACAACGTATCGACACGTTCTTGCACCAGTACGGAAGTACCGGTGGCAGCAGCGTGTAAGGCTACGCTTTCAGTTTCAACTGGGGACACATTTGCCACCATTGACTTACGGCTCGTCTCAGCGTTAGCTGCTTCACGTATTGTGTTCATGTTGCAAGGACCAGGTGATATACTTTCTGAAATAGTGCTGCGTAACAGCGCTACCTCGGCGCGCAAGTCACTTATGGTGCTATTTGACACTTCCAATTTTGTTTTCAGCTCAGCCACGCAGTCTTTCAGGGATGTGATATCCTCAAAAATCCTTGTTATATCAAACGTAATGGGTGGTGGTAACTTAGACAGGTCCTTTGCCACAAAAGTGAATAAGTCATCCGGGTCAGTGTTCTTCATCAGGGTAATAATATCCTTAAGAATATCCTCACTACTATCTTGCTTGCGACACGGAATCTGGTTATATTTGTGAAGCGTCGTGAACAGTATCAACCTTGCAATGTCAATCTCTTCTGTCTTGAAGGTGGACATGCAGACCTGCATGATGCTGGAGTCGTCCAATCGATTTTCGACGACGGCATACTTCAGGAATGCTAACACCTCGTTCACTATCAGTGGCTCGGAACTCATAGTTATCAACACGGGCAGCGGCTACAGTCGCGTAAGTCGAGAATAGACTATTCGTTACAAGCAGCGTACGCACGTCCGTACTCGACGGTGGATAGCGCTAAACTAAAAGTACAACCTAATTTTCCTAGCTCCAAAAGTCAAGATTCTTTTGTTTAACTTGCAACTATTCAAAAACGAAATAGAATAAAGAGATGCATAGTAAGTACCTACTACCTAAAAGAAATCTATTCTATGTCTCTAACAAAGCGGAAGAGATAAGCGACTGTGGGAAATCTATGGTAACGTCTCGTTTTTTAAAAGGCCACCATACCAGGGTATTAGAAAGTACCAAGAATAGTACATAGAGACAGATTCATTGCTTTCATTCCGTATGTGAAAGGTAGTCCGATTAATTTTTGACTACTGAAAGACATGAAGTTATCAAATCATTTATTAGTTTCTTGGTTTTATAGTTAAACATCGTTTAATGTTACCAATTACTAGTGATTTTAAACGTATAACATCAGTTTCAACAAACATTAATTTATACAACTTAATAGTTATTTGCAAAACAATTACATAGCTGTAATGTGTAGTAAACTCAAGACATACTACAAATAAGATAAGATTAAGAAACAAATGTTTTAATTTTTGTTTTTAATTGTTTTGTTACTAATCTTCATAACAAAAAAACAACATAGTTTATTGTAAAGATAATTTAGGTACAGTTAGGTACTACTAGTAAACAAAATGTCCATCCAACACACACATACACATGAAAGCATATTGATCGACATGGTATTTATTATACACACACACGTCCGTGATTTAATAGGGTTGCAAACGATGACGTCATGGATTGGCATAGAGTACTAAGGGATCAGAACACATGAGAAGATTGTAGCTGCGTCACTCCTCTCTGGAGCTTAAAGCCATTTTCAATTGTAGTTTTTAAATGGGAAATGGAGAAATATTGTTAAGTTCTAGAAAATAATAAATAGTTCTATAGATATTATAATTTTCGATTGTATAACTTTTCCAATTTAAGTAGAATTCAAATTTCCAACAAACTCAATACATATCGTTTATTAATATACAGTTTATTAGCCCACATTATGACCAAAATATTATATACTAATCTTTAAAAAAAGCTGTCGAGTCAGTACTAAGGCTACCAGAAAAGGATGGTGTTAGCTATGACGTCAAGCCGTGACGTCATCGACAAGGACATCGCACCCCAACCCCCGATGCAGTCTAGACTGCGTTGGAGAGCTAGATAGATATAAGGCTGTCTCTTTCTGTGTATAAACTACAGGTTGATACACACTCATGTAAAAACACTACATAAAAAGCCGGTAACGCACTATTTTATTGTTAGACTATGCTATAGGCCTCCTCTACATAAGAAGGTTTGTCATAATTACCACGCTTAGCAGTATGGTAAAAGTAAAAAATCGCAGTTTAATTTGTTCAAATATAAAAGCACTGTTGCCTGTCTTTATCAAATGTATAGCTAATTATTCGGCTTTTATAAGTTTTTCACACCCACGTAGAGAGTAGGGGTGGTGATAAATACATTGCTTGCCATCATTCAAGGAGTAGACCATGTGCTGGTTAAACTGAGTGATAAATACAACAACCTAGACTGGCACAGTTGGTAGTATATTGTCATTACAGATTAAGCTAATCAGCCCGATATCCATAATCGCTTGCAATTGACAATTTGACAGATATTATTCCTAACATACTACCAGGCTTCTACACGTACCCCTATGTAATCCATACTGTTCTAGTAACGATATGGCATAAAGATTAATCGAATATAACATAACATCATGCCTTTAAACTGTCAAACACCAAGCGGTCACCGGTGACCGCTTGGTGTTACGACGAGTTAACTCGTCGAGTATCGTTTTTGTAGACACAATTATAGAACAATAGGTTGCGGTCACCGGTGACCGCTTGGTGTTTGACAGTTTAATCCCTTAAGGGGTAGGCATGACAACACTTAATGCCACTGTACAATGTAGCACCCACTTTTCACTATGTATGTTATGAGTCCCATGTAATAGGGGGTGAGCCTATTGCCATATACCGGCACATTTCCAGACTCCGTTCTACTACTGAGAATTTTTTGAAAACCCAATAATACTTTCCGCGACCCGAGAATCGAACCCGACACCCGTTACCAGTCGCACTTGCAACCACCCGGCCAACGAGGTAGTCGAATATAATAAAGAAAATTAAAACTATGTTTATAGTTAAGTTCAATACTTATTTCGAAATGTCAATATACAATATTACGAATTTCTATGCCTTATTATGGAACTTTCATCTGTATAATTATATTTTCGTTGACTTTCAAAACTTTCAGAAATATTAACACGAGGTTCAAATTGCGTAAATGGTAGTATCTCCTTACAAAATAAATGCCACGGTTTATAACGATATTTTATTCGCTACTTTTACAAAACACCATGCTGAAAATTACCACGTGCTTAAAGCTCAGAGCTTTGAAGGACTGCTTTATTACGGCATTGGTGGCATCAATCGACCTCCTATCGTTTCTGGTAGCCTGGTACTAAAAGCCAAAAATGCCACGTGGCGCGTGCGTGAAGCGTCTATTTGAAGTAAAACTTTGTCTGCAACTGTAAGTAATGAAAAAACCCATGAAAGTAAATGTAAACTTACAAAGTCAAAATCGTGGGTGATTATTACTTATCTATTTTATTTTTAATTATTAATATAAGACAAACTTTTGGGCATAATTTAAGATATTAGTATTAGTACATGTTTACTTATGTGTACTTGTCATTTCCATTAGAAAACATGCACGTTCATTATAAGAAGTTGTTACTTGTTGCCTATCATTTTACTGAAAACGGAAAATGTGATTAACAGTGACCACCTCATTAGTTAACACTAACATTTTAGCATGTAAGTACCATAAATGTTCTCCAATTCAAAGTTCAACAGGTGTTATTTGGACCATCTGTTCCTCGAACAACGCACCCCTCAGCTGATGCACCCCTTACAGAACCGCTGAGCAAAATTACTCCTTACGTAATATGATGTCCTGGTATGGCTGGAATCAAAACACGTGGCCTTTTCATACTTCGCATAATGGCCTTTTCATACTTTTGATAGCGACGAGATAAGACTATGATATTGCTACAAACTGACTACGACGTAGTAAACAACTTAATTATTAAAATGGCAACTTCTCTTTTATTGAATTAAATTTTGCACAGTGCACTAACTTAGTTCCTCAGTTAAGTCAATCTTAGTAAAAAAGGTGCAACTTAAACTTAATTACATTTAATTTGCAATATATATCTGGCGTTACTTAGTCGTTTTTATTTACTTTAGAATTAATAATAACTATTACATAATTGAATATATACAATACAAGATAAAAATTAATATATACAACATAAAATATATAAAAAAAAATCAAAACTAAAATATTTACACCTTAATAAAATAATAATAATAAATAAAAATAAATCATAAGGCATCAAAGAAAAAATTACATTAAATACATCATTATAAAATAAAAAATAAAAGCGTTATTCATATTTGTATTTTACGACCTAAACTCTTAGTTAGATATTAATTTTAATATTAATGTCATGTGTTCTGTACCTGGATAATCCTGTACTTATTGTAAATATTATAAATAAATTATGAAAAAAAAACCTACGTAATGCTAGCTTAGCTTTAAAGCAACACCGTCACTTGAATCGATCCATCCAATGTAAAGCTGCTTCCAATCTATGATGCCCTAGTAAGTCACGTTTAAAAACACGTGGCCTCAGTGCAGCCTGCATGTCAGAACAAGGCTGAATTTTTATGAGACTTCATCTAATGGAGGATGATATAATCTATATATATAAAATTCAAAGGTGATTGACTGACTGACTGATTGACTGACTGACATAGTGATCTATCAACGCACAGCCCAAACCGCTGGACAGATTGGGCTAAGATTTGGCATACAGATAGATGTTATGACGTAGGCATTCGCTAAGAAAGGATTTTGATAATTTCCACCCCCAAGGGGGTAAAAAAGGGGATGAAAGTTTGTATGAGACTTTGTCAGTTTTAAACCGATCGGGTTGTAATTTGGCATGCAGATAGATGTTATGACGTAAGCATCCGCTATGAAAGGATTTTGATAATTTCCACCCCCAAGTGGGTAAAATAGGGGATGAAAGTTTATATGAGCCTTTGTCAGTTTTAAACCGATCGGGTTGTAATTTGGCATGCAGATAGATGTTACGACGTAGGCGTCCGCTATGAAAGGATTTTGATAATTTCCACCCCCAAGTGGGTAAAATAGGGGATGAAAGTTTATATGAGCCTTTGTCAGTTTTAAACCGATCGGGTTGTAATTTGGCATGCAGATAGATGTTACGACGTAGGCGTCCGCTGTGAAAGGATTTTGATAATTTCCACCCCCAAGTGGGTAAAATAGGGGATGAAAGTTTATATGAGCCTTTGTCAGTTTTAAACCGATCAGGTTGAAATTTGGCATGCAGATAGATGTTATGACGTAAGCATCCGCTTTGAAAGGATTTTGATAATTTCCACCAAGGGGGTAAAATAGGGGATGAACGTTTGTGTGAGGCTTTGTCAGTTTTACACCGATCGGGTTGAAATTCGGCGTGCAGATGGATATTATGACGTAAACGTCCCTTTAGAAAGGTTTTTGAACATTCTCACCCCAAAGTATGATACTTTGCCAGTTTTAAATTGATCGGGCTGAGACTTTGCATGCATAAAGTTACTATGACATAGGTATCTCTTTAGAAAGGATTTTGATAAATTCCACCCCTAAGGGGATAAAATAGGGAATGAGAGTTTGTATAAATCTTCTTAGCCGTTGAATTTAGAATCATTGAATCTTTTTGAATTACATTCGGTAAAACGATGATTTGGGACCTGGGTAACGTATGATAGTTTTTTCACAGATGTCTCACGAGAACGGGAACTATGCGTCAATGCCCCAGGACTCTCTA